GTGCTACTTAGGTAGTGATGTTCACAGACTGACAATCTATTTTTTCCCCGTTCCCGTAATGGCCAAGTCTTTGCACCGTAAAGCATCACTAGCCGAACTGCTGCACTTATTTGCTTTACTTTACTACGGCTGACTCCTTGGAAAGGATAAGCCGGCTCCATGAATGTCTCTGATGGCCGCTCTCCATGCTTGGCGGTTGGCTGCATGATCCTTGCAAATGTTAATCCAGTTTGTTTTCCATCGGCAACTGCTGCAGCATATACTCGACCCTTCGCTGAGTGCCGAATGTCGTGACTTCGCCACAGATGTCTGAAGTAGGCAAATGCCAGCCGAGCATTCTGTATGCGCGCCGACACTTCATCTGTGATGCGTCCGCCAGGTGAGATATAGCTGTCCAGTTGGGGAAATTTGTCCACTTCTACTATTTCCCCGATAAGGGTGAGGTTGGGGACTAAACCGACCTAATCTCGTAGCAGCATTTTGCACTACGATGTTGTTGGGGAATAATCGCATTTGATCCAGCTTCTGTTTTGTTCAGCCATGCGTCAAACCATAAATGAATTCAGGTACTGTGCCCCAGTTTCTAACCGATTGATCATGAGCTGAGTGACTTTGTTGACACACCCTCCTTCGATGTTGCTTAGGCGCCTAACAGTATGAGCACAACAATTGGGTAGTTGAAACCACTGACTAACCTATCCTTACCAGACGTCACAACTCCTCCACCCCTCTCCTTTTTGATATATTATTGCGATCTGATCGGTCTACGTTTGCACCATTCCTAAGGAAAATCGCTCGGAACCATTGACCACAAATCCAGTTATGAATGCACTTTCCAGTCGGCGAATCAGCGGTCAATCGCAGTGACACAGAATACTAGTTAATCCAAACGCCTGGTGTTTACTCGGTTATTCCAGCATCTAGGTTAATGTCAACTAAAACCCGAGGCTACTTTGTGTTTACGTACCATTGATGAGGTTTTTGTTGTGCTTCATTAGTCGGTCAACTCGAACAGTATCTGTGCGCATTCTATAGAAACAAGCATTCGGTGTTTGTGTGATACTCCAAGCGTGGACTACCAGTTCGGTATCCAATTGTTCGGCTGTTGACACACCTAAAATGGTGCCCATCGTACAGTCATTCATTCAGTCTACCTTGTACCAACGAACCCAAGCGCATTGGCATTCGCTTTTTGATAGCGAGTCAGATCGGACAGATTGGTGATTCACGCGCCGGATTAAAACAATACGCGCAGACTTTGTGAGTCCGCATAGTCCACACAACAGAACTTCATCTCATTGCATACAAATACAACCGAAATCCGGTCTCTCCCTAATCGAACTTATCACTCCTGTATGCCTCTTTCTAACTTGATGGCAATTGTTTCCCGATTCCAACATTTTTCTCATGGGCAAGGTCCGCGGATTTATTCCACCCCACGAGAACGCCGATGGTATTTAGTACTCTATTAATTTTGCGTGTCATACGTTTGACGAATGGCCGTGCCCAATTTGAATCGGAATCAGAATCAAGCTAAGTCCCTTTGCACCCCCCCCCCTCCTTGTTGATCGACGATCATCTCTGAAATTAACAAACCTGTCTTCTGCTTGTCTATCCTTCAGAGAAACATTGGGATAGTTGAAGTATTTGTGGGTGTTCGAGCCAATATTAACAAGCCTAATGACTCTATTTGCAAGGCAGGGACAATCCCGTTATGTACGTTAATGTGTTTCACATTTCTTCTGTCGAAAAAGTCACATGCACCAAATTTGGAACCAGAAAAAGATAATCTGTGTGAACTCCCTGGAGAACGCAATCAGCGGAAGCACATCGACATATGCGGCTCACATGAAACTATTGATGATCATCTCGCTGGCACTCGTCGCGCAGTACAATATTCCCCATTGAAAAGAGTTTCATCAGGGAGCTTAGAACTTAACAGATATGTGTTCACAAAAAACCCTGTCCATTGAGATCCAAGTGCCGTTCGAATTGCCCTATAAGCTGTCTCATTGATACCAACTTTTCAGCATTTGTCCACCGATCTGTTAGCATAAAAAAACTCAATCCATTTTGATGCAAAAGCCCTACCCCATCAAGCCTCTTAATACGCGACAATTTATCGAATCTGGACTTCGCTTGCAGCCCTATAATAACGCAGGAATCACATTCGTGTGTTCTCTCATGGGTCCCGATAGACAGATTGCTGACGACGGTTAATGGTCCGTGTGGCATTTTGTTCGTGAATCAATCAGTTTCCCATTCACTTGTGGATCGTCTTCCCTAACTCCGTTTAGGCGTTATTTCTGCGCCGTTCACCAATGTGAACGTTGTCCGCATTTGCGAAGTTAGTTACAATAAACTGAGTTTTCGAACGGGATTTTCTCCGCCGCACATTCGAAATATCAGGAAGGCATTTCGTCCCTGATGGGCATTTATGGAGGTTTTGATCTATGCTACCAAAACAAAACCACGATAGTGGATGCCTATGAGGATGTTTGTGACAACCGACAAAGACCACTGGACGTCTGTTTCCTCCTGTTTGAGACTCGTCAGCAGTGCGCACTTTTTGTGTTCCCACATCAGGACTCCAAGCTTGATGCTTATGAAAGCTTTATTTGAACGATGCGTTTTGGTACCGGGTTGGGAACCGCTCGGCCGTGCATAAAATTGACTTTTCTATAAAGCATGTATACATTGCCCCTTATTGGGATGCATTTTTGTTCTCATTTTCCATGCTGAAGAATGTGACGAAAATCCTGTGATTCAACTGGGCCTCATACGCAGCCAAGATGCGGTCCCTTTGTTGGGTCTGTTGGATCGGTTGGAACAAGGCTGTCCACACCCCGGGGAATCATGTGATTCGTCCAAACCCCCAGTGGAAACGTCCACACAAGATTTGGAACGGGAACGTGTACAATTGGACATTGATAGGAGTTTTCTGCAGGTAAATGCCTCGTTAATCCCCCGATAGTAGCCTCATTTCGAAATTCTGATTGGTTCTCTCGGATTGCTCCATTTTTTCACACAAGGAACAATAGTGTGAACGGTCATTTCCACGGCTGGTGTTGCTCACTCTTCTCTAACCACCACTTCAACAGACCGAACCGGATAAGACAGAGGACGCTCACCCCTACGTTTTGCTATACGCTCCTACACTTTTTGCCTGCTTTCCGTTCGACACAGGTACTATCACGTCCATTGTTGGCGCCTTGTCTGTTCTAGACTGATAGTAAAAAGTATTCACATTGCAAAATTTCTCCTAATGAATCTCTTTGCTCACACAGGTCAAACTTTTTAGAATAATTTTGAACTGGTCATAGGATGGTAACGCTTTTAAATTTTTTTCTTTCTTTCGTATCACACGTTTCCCTTTCTAGCAGTTATTGCAAAAGGCAGTCTTTGTGGAATATTTTATTCCATATTGTTTACCAGACTATCAGAATTTATGGGCGAGACAGTATTGTGGCAGCGAGAACCGGCAATTCAAACTGCGGCGCATGAATAGTTCAGATATCCTAAAATCTGTCACCGTAAACCAAACGATGTTACCTAACAACAACAAGACGCGTTGTTTAATACGGATGCCTAGGAGACCCAGCCAGTTCCCGTACTCACTTCTCCCCCCTCGTCAAATGATCGATGTGACGTGCCCTGCTTTTTTTGATCTCCCTCGATGTACAAAAACTAATTACATTTTGTGACCATGCTGGGCTAACTTAATCATGCGCTCCGCACTAGTCTAAAGTGAATGAAACTATTCAATCGGTGCGGAGCACTATGTGCCAGTTTGTGTCATGTGCTGGTGGTTAGCAAACTGGCATACGAGTTTATCGGCACAGTGTTTTTTTCATGGCGTACACAGAGTCCATACGCACTCGGTAACCTTTGACCCGACCTATCTCTCTCTCTCCCCTGTTTTGCAGTTCTACACGAAGGAGTTGACGAACTGGAAAGAGCTGGCGGACTCATTCCGCCATTCAACTGGTTCAAGCCGCCCATGCGGGCAGCACTCGACTGACTCATACACAATTCAAACGCAACTGGCCATTGATGCATTCTGTGACTGGTTGTCTGCTCTACAAAATCGGTGAGTGACCATCTCAAGATTCTACATCTTCACTCACTCGCTCTCCTGATTTGTTTGCGCGCGCTGGTGCGCGTTTTTAACGCGACCTCAAGCACTAGACAGTATTGGCCTGTGTCTTTTACAATACAGGTCTTTATGAAGCGAGCAACCTCAGAGAAACCTGAATAGCATGTGGTTTCGGAGTGAATATATATATATATATATGATGTATAGTTTTTCCTTCGCTTGAAAAACTAGCTCGTCTTTCTGGATAGGTTGCTGTTATTCGGATTTGAGCACTTCTCTACGAGAAACATAAGAATTTCAGTTCCGGTAGTAGGTTAACGTAGCCAAGCCTTAGCTTACATGATGAACATTAAACGTTATGTACCGGGTGAATCCCATTGCGTCGATCGCGATTGTCTGTATTGCCCACTATACCATTTGAAGATAACTTTGAGAAACTATAACTTTCAGTTTCGAAACCGTCATTTAGAATTGAGAAACCATCACTTAGACTTGAGAAAGAAACGCAGTGGTTGGATCCGCTTCCGTTCAGCGCACCTCACTGGTCAATTGATCACACGTTTTTTCTACCCCCGGATTGACCACCTGTCTTCCCACGCTCTTTCTGTGCTGAAATGAGGAGACCCCAGTCGTGCAACTTGTCGGGCTCTGTGACATTACACCATGCATCAGCTAGTCTACCTGACTGACTGCAACTGCAGTAAGCAACACCTGAGATGCAGTGAAATTATTTCGGAATTAAATGGTGCTCGCTTGTAGTGTGTTGTGTTCATTGCACTGTTATTTTCTCACAAAGAAAGTGGCCGCTTTGCTTCTCAGTTTTACCCAGTCGCTCTCATAAATTACCCACCCTCCCTTCGGGGACCATTCAAATAGGATTCTCAGCTCTTCTGCCTCGATCCAGTAATTTGTTTCATGAATTTCATTAAACAGGTGAATTACGATAGTCAGAAGACACTTGACCATGCTCACTTTGTGCAAACAGCACTTCAAGCTCATTTTACATCCATTGTCGTCTATCTAGCTCCCAACGTCAACCTACAGACGCACACTATCTTGTGCAATGAATTCATCATCATCTATCTACATTACTTCCCATTACACCTTGGTCAAAACCGGCAATCCTTCAGTCGCGACCTATGATCATTTGGTCTCGATGCAAAAAGCTTTAGTGATGTCACTGCAGACGAGTTAGATTAAAAAGTTAACAAAGGGAAGCACGTTTTTCCTTGTTGCACGAATAACGTGACACTTGATGAATTGTTCATTTCAGGCATGCGTCAGTGCCCGAATACGGTTCAATTCAGTTCTTACAACCATCAACCACGCACTTTTGTGCATCGGTTTTGGTTGCAGTCTTTTGTCCACCCATTTGGATAGAACAACAGAATGAAGATTGGAATATTGAGAGCAAATTCAAGCGGACGATAGACTGATGTTATGAGAATAATGGGTAGGTGCATGAGCACCACTGTTTGCGACACCGAGTCCTTTCGCTCAGTGTCTCTAACCATTGGTGACTGTGATCTCAAGGCCCCCTGTCAAGGAGCCTAATGGGACCTATGTGATCCAGTCTACTGGCCAGTGTTTTCATACCCTCACTTGCTCCATTGGACGACAGCGGTTCCCTAAAACTCTGCGCCTAACCTCAGCATTGCTCGTCCGGTTATCCCACCAGACTCGTGCAGTGCTACTTAGGTAGTGATGTTCACAGACTGACAATCTATTTTTTCCCCGTTCCCGTAATGGCCAAGTCTTTGCACCGTAAAGCATCACTAGCCGAACTGCTGCACTTATTTGCTTTACTTTACTACGGCTGACTCCTTGGAAAGGATAAGCCGGCTCCATGAATGTCTCTGATGGCCGCTCTCCATGCTTGGCGGTTGGCTGCATGATCCTTGCAAATGTTAATCCAGTTTGTTTTCCATCGGCAACTGCTGCAGCATATACTCGACCCTTCGCTGAGTGCCGAATGTCGTGACTTCGCCACAGATGTCTGAAGTAGGCAAATGCCAGCCGAGCATTCTGTATGCGCGCCGACACTTCATCTGTGATGCGTCCGCCAGGTGAGATATAGCTGTCCAGTTGGGGAAATTTGTCCACTTCTACTATTTCTCTGGTAAGGTTGGGATTGGGGGCTGAATCCATTCTACCCTATCCATGGAAGGTCATCTAACCCCCATGATTACTGTTCTCATTAATGCTGTGTTATCCCCTTTCTTTCCAGCACCAGTCCCGAATTCGTAATCGATCCTAAGTTATGGAGTATACTGTTTAGAGTGAAAAGAGAATGAATGGTCGCCACCCCGCTTGATGCAACGGGTAGCGCGGTCCTTATTATCCTGCACGACGATCGGTGCAATTCGGAATCATCTTTTGTTTGTGTGTACATCAGATTTTGATAAGCGGTACCGCCATGGTGTCCAGCCACTAAGCAGGAGAACAATAGGGGTTCTTATCCAAAACCTCTTGTTCTGACAAGAACCTGATCGCAAGGAAGCGGGTAAGGCTAAGTAGAGGCCTGTTTACTTGGATCAACTACTCCACCTTTTTTACCGACTGAGACAGCAAACCGAGTCGAACCCCAAACCTGGACTGCGTCTGACCTCTAGCCTTCGATTTTTCAGCCTTGATTCGATCTGCGACTTGACAAATGCCATTGACTTGTCAATCAATTAATGAACAAATCTCTCCGCCGTTTCTTTAGACGACGCTAAAAGCGAAGCACGCGAACCGGGACTGATTCAGTTAATTCCGAATTTGACTGGTTGAAAACAAGACTGATTTTCAGGCTGTACATTACACTTTGTAGAGAGGATTGTTTCTACTTCCGGATAGACTATTTATTGTGCTGCTGTGTATCCCTGGTTATGGTAGAAATTTGTATTTACTACTGATCTACCCGATGCGGTTCTTCATCTCAGTTGATGAGCTCAGAAATCTGACATGATAGTGGGATACTGATCATCAAGGTTTTTTTTATGACCAACCGGCGGCATAGCGTCGATTCGGAAGCATCTGTTCTCACACAGGTACATGCCCTCCTACGCAAATAAATTAGATGTTTCACTTTCATTTGGATGCTTTAGATCGCTTTCGCGCCGAAATTCGTAGGATATATCGGGTAGTGATAACCATTCATCTGGTTAAATAGAACGAATGTCGAATCGTGTGTATGTATGTGTGTTACGTCTCGTTTGAGGTGTGAACAGAAAATCTGCGGCCTAACACGATCGCGATTCTGTCCGATTGCCAAGTTCAATTCTCTCCCGGAAAGCAATTTGGTGAGGAAGTGAAACCCAACAAACATCACACACTATANGCCTTAGCAATTTGCACGAAATTCACAGAATACTCATATTCAGATTATTCACACCAGCACTTGCGTTAGAATCGATTTCTACTCCGGTTAGCTCATCGTTTAGCTTATATCTAATCAAGCCCATTATATCTGAGAAGTATGTTATTTTTTCAGACTTCGCTTTGTTTTAACAATTGTCTTTCAAGGTGGTTATTATAAGTCTGTCACCACTTGTAATTTACTTACAGCGTGCTTAAACACGTCAGTATGCGATCGACACCAGATCAGAAATGACAGAGTTCACCGTCGCGCTGAGCTATCTATCTACTTCTGGTCACATGGGCGTCATAATCACTCGATTTGGCCCCTATTCGGTTAACTTTGAATGATGATGTGGATGAATTACTTTTCATAAAATAACGCTTTATCTAAGCGATTGATCGTTCATCCGTACCTGTTTCCTTCATCATGTATTCCCAAACACTAGGAATTGTTTGGTTACGATCAACGCAAGACATCTCGAATCGTTCTAACATTCGATATTCATTCAATTTCCACAAGGTTGACAATTAGCGCAAACTCGGATGGATTGAGCATTTCGGCAATGTGCTCGTTATTGCAACGGTCCAGTGCAATCCATGCTTTTGTTCATGCCGTGGCTAAGACCCATTTATATTCTGATCTGTCCTCCTCCTCCGCTCTACCCGCGGTTGTGTACCACGTACAGTGGAGGATCGGATACGGTTTTTTAGCTCTCACAGAGATGTTCGGTCACCATCGTAACAATAATGCTACATCATGTTCGGAGTTAATGGTTGTTATGGGAACAGGATCGTATTCCTGCTCGTGACGGAATGTGCATTATTGATCAAGTTACTTATATTCCGCTATTCGATATATATATATATATATAGTTGTCCCGCCTCCACAAGGTTGTTTTGCATGATTTTGTTAATCAGTAACAGGTTTTTCGAGCATTTTTCTGTCTACGAATGCGCTTACCTCACTTACCGCATTCAGATCAATCCTGCCCGCGATCACTTTCAGACCGATTTGATTTGATTTTCCGTTATCCAACTTGCTTCGGAGAATCGGGTGTTGTGTAAAAAAAAAAAAAAAACTGTTGTAGGTTGGTATACTTTATTTCCAGACCAACATACAGCTTCCCATCAGTCCGCTGAAATTGCGCGCAGATTTTGTTCTCGAATCCAATATTACTCGTTTCACTTGATCCCCTTCGCGCGTGAATTTTCGCCGTGACAGTATTTTCAACATTTCACTCTTCCCTCATCCAACAAACCCACAGTGGATGGGTTATTATTTTTTTCACTGAACTAAACTCTGCTTGAATCCAACGATTGCACTATTTGGATCATTTTATTCTGTTCGCCATCGTTCTCGATGCGATCACGCACTGACACGTGTATTCTCTTTAATCCCCTCCGGCTCGGGTAAGCTAGAGAAATTTCACAATCTGGCTGATACAGGAATGGATATATATATATATATATATATATATATATACATATATATATATATCATCTGCACAGTGTTCGTGCATAAATTTGATTGTGAATAGAGTTAGTAGATTGTGAACTGATTGAACCGTTGAATGATAGTTGGGCTACGGTTACGGGATCGAGTTGTCCCTACTCACTGGTTGCCCACTGCCCCGACGTTTGCTAAGGCAGAGTGCTTCCAATGGATTAGGAGGAACGCGATGGACCTCCTTAAACGCATCTGCATTCGCTTGATGACTTAAATTTACAGGAATAATCAAAGGGTATAGTTGTTTTAAACGAGCTCGTTTGGATTTTTTCGTATCTTTTCATATGTCCAGTTGAACGATAAGAGGGAGATTCCCTATTTACCTAATCGAGTGACTTAACTACAGTGTTTTGGCTTGGTTCATTTTGAACGATCGCATAAACTGAACCGAATCCGCACGATTGCACTGTGGTCTCTTCTGCTATCATTCGGCAACTTATCTTATGATAGTGGTTAAAAATAAGCAAATCCGTAGCGAGTGGTCTGTGTGTGCCGAAAGCAAATTAGATGCACAAGCACCACACACACACTCAACCAAATCACCCATAATTTGCTTTAGTTATCTGGTTTCCTCATTGCTCTGGAATGTTCGATAGGGATTAAAAACGATGCAAAAGCGGTAGTTGGAAATAAATGAGATATTATATCCCCATCCACAGGCTTACGCGATCGGCACACATCAAGGTGGTCCACTGTATCCGAATTTCTAACCAGGTTAGGTGTATCCACTTTGTTTTCTTTTTTTCATAGGTTGGCCGTCTGTTTGAATCATCTAAACCGTCGGGCACTGTGGATCGACCAGATGAACGGATTCACTCACGAGTTAAAATCCTCATTCGCAGTGGTGGAAGAACGCGTGCGCAACAGCCTTCAACAAACTCGAAGTTTGTTACTCGCTTGGTGTCCGCGCCCCGATCCTGTGCACCCACCTAGCGAAGGAATCGATGAGCACACACAACCCGAAAATTCCAATCGCAACCAAATTGTCGAAACATTGAATGATTTGCAGGTGGGTTAAGCAGGCTGCTTTTCATTCGCCGTCACCTTTTTTCATTGACGGTTTTACTTCCCAGGTCACTTTGGATTCAAAACATTACACATTACATATTACTATTATATTACACACACGTCTGAGGCCAGATTGTGTGCCAAACAAATCACAATAGGATAATCTTTATGAACAAGAAAAACGTTCCATGATTTGAATGTGGGCCAAATACTGCCAGGTTGCCCAGTCCAAGGCAGGTGAATTTTCTTAGACAGTTTTATACTAGCCAAATTGTAACCCGCAAGGCGGTTTTCACAAACCGCAATCCATTGGGGGACGGTGTCCAGTTCATCAGATCATGCGTTCTTTGGACGGTGTCAAACGTCCAAGATGCCCAATTGAGCGGTGATCATTACCACAACCAGAAAGGCGTGTTCTAACATTTCTTCTTGGCTGACTTGAAAGCGCGATTTGTCCTAGGTGAACTGCCGGCTATTCACGGACCCCGCTGCAACTCCGGATATTGGCTTTTCATCCTCCATCCGTTTGGTGGGAAAACACCGCAGTGAGTAGGGCTCCGTCATCAGAGACTGTTTGAGGTGCTTGGTCGGGTTGAACGGAAACGGTGACCAACGACAACTGAAATCACTAATCCTCGATCATATTGAGGTTTGCGGAGGTGAAAACAATGG